ATTTAGTTTGCACGGGGGCGCTTTAAGTTGCATGGGTATTCCCCGATCGTATATGTCCTGTTGAACAAATCTGAACATAAGCACCCCGCAGAGATGGCAGGAGTGAGATGATTTTCGTTTTGTTGGATGCAAGACGGCAGGCGTCTTCCCGTGCCCAATCAGTCCGCCATCTTAAAGTTGTTGTCACTTTTATCTCCTTAAGGTATGGATGTAGTCGCGAACTTGCCTCACTCACAGAGGTATGGTTCGAGTCGCAGAATTGACGTGTCCACACGCACCACCTGCCTCTGAATGTAATATTTCCTATCCATCATAACTTCAACATCAGCAAAGGCGAGCTTGCCATATGCACTGAAATGGATCAGAGTTCCTACAGTGAGCAACGGTGAGCCTCCATCTGTATTCAAAGATAATGGAATTTATTATGCGCATGTGTGCCGTATTCGGTACAACCAAGCCTCTTTGTCGCTCATCCTGGCATCCGTCTATTCACATCCGCCATCCGTCTTTGAACCCGACCTGTGACGGCGCGTGTCGCACGCGCCAAGGTACCAGCATCTCTCAACTGCTACCATTTCATTTGTGGCGATCGAGCAGCAGTACTGGGAACCTGAAGAAGCGCCCAAACCCTAATAGGCACCGGTGAGTGACTGACGCTTTCACTAAACGGTTTACAGCGCCCCCTCATCAGTCAACCTGTGCAGCCAGTCGTGCACGGTTCGTCCGCCGATGCATTCCCGTGCACGGGTAGTAGTGGCGCGACGACAGACACGGCGCGTCTGCCGACCTCGCCGCGCTCACTCGCCCAGCTGAGAGGCGCGCCGGCCGACGCGCCGGCCCCCGGGTTGGTACGGCCGCTCATTAGACGGCATGGCGCAGAACCATGTCTGATGTCTGCTGTGTGAGACTGAGGGGACAGCGTCATGCATGCACACAAAATGCGCGCTGGAGTAAACTGAAGCATATGTATGCAAGCCAGTTCATGACCTTGAATGATTTGTCTCTGCATGCAGCATCTAAGCTGCCCCGCCATGCCTGTGATTGCAATTTCAAGACATGTCTAGTACGGTTTGAGTGCACTGATGGCTCCTGCTCTTCATTGCATAGCATATTCGTTATGATTAATAAAACAATACACTGTAAGACTACGTGACCTGATTTCACCTGGGGTAGGTCTTCCACAGAGCATTCATATACCAATTATCTGAAGTGGTTTGTCACATTGCGCCAAATTTCGCTTATCGCATCGTCACAACGTGCGGTCAACATATGCCAAGAAGAGAAAATATTTGGCCTAAAAAAGCTTTGACCCTGTTCTCTCAAAGGTGGAATGCATATAAGCCGAATTTTCCCGACCGAAAATAAAAAAAGTAGAATCACCTTTTTCCGATGAACTTAACAAAAATATGCGCAAAATATAACTAAAAAAGCATGCATGACATCACCGACCTAGTCTGACCTCAGACGTCGCAAATAAATAACACAAAGACATCGTGTGCAGCCGGACAGCTGTGCCGATGAGCATTGTATTGGTACTTTCCCCGTTACCCACTTCGTTTGGTGTGGCTGCTACCGGCGGGGGGCTATGGTTCATGTACTCCAATAAGCACATTAGCTGTGCTGTCTTCCCGTGACCTCGGGGGTCATTAAGTCCACCCCGACCTGCAGCCTGGGCATTTCCAGAACAGGAAAACGAAGAGAGAGACTCCAACGTGGCATTTACCTCCCACTTTGTCCTTATTGAGACCAAAGCTGCCATGTTACTGCATCTAGCAAACTCAGCAAAAAGAGGGATACCAAAGGAATCGGAAGCGTGTCACGATCGTTCGCACAAATGACCTACTAATTATTTGCGATAGGTCAGTCCATGTGGACGATAGTGCAGTGATGCAGAGATATTTTCATACAATATCATCATTTTCAGGCAGGTTATTTTCGGAGGCCAGCATTCTATTAATCTATGGTTTGATTCGGTGTCAAAAGACCAATTCAGAGGTCAAATTTCCTGAACTTGGACTTTTCTTGGCTTCACGTACCCATATGTAAAGGACCATGCCTCGCAGTGACACAACACCTAACTGGCATGTTCCTCGTTTGATTTTCGGTGTAATGGTGTGCATTTTGTGCTCTGAGCATGGGTTTATGATGAAGGGTTCCTCGCTTTAATGACGTCGGTCCGCCGCGCCCGGTCCGCGGTCGGACCAAGTTCGGACCGCGGACCGTGCGCGCACCAGATCGATTCCAATGGTCGGCTGCCACCCGCCGCCCGCGTGGGCCGTGGGTTACCACACACCCGCCGCCCGCGTGGGCCGTGGATTACCGCACACCCGCCGCCCGCGTGGGCCGTGGGTTACCGCACACCCGCCGCCCGCGTGGGCCGTGGGTTACCGCGCATTGTTCCCAGAAACCGTCGCTTCGCAGAATCCAGAAACGCTAGGGATGCTTTTTGTATCAAAATACACGCAATTGACGTCCCAGGACGTATCACAATTTTGAGCGCGACTGCACGTGTCGGAGAGGTACCCTCAGGAAACGTGAGGGGGTCTCATCGACCCTCTCTCTGATGGCGAGGGTTTGCGTACTCAATCTCAAAAATGTCCGCAAGATGTCGCGTGATAACCGACTTTTCCAACAAGCATAGATATCAATTCTTCAGAGAGCCTTGAGGTGAACGCCTTTCGCTTGAACTGACTGTCGGTGCCACCCCCACCAACCTCCCTAGATCCGAACAAGAAACGGAATGCAAATATTGCACCCCTTACAATCCATAAGCAGTTTATGTTTGGTCAACCAAAGCCCAAAGCCATGCCTATTGATTCAGCATTCGAGAGAAGTGATACCCCTGGGTTTAGCTCATTGGTGAAAATGCGCGTGGGCGTGACTTCTAAGAAGGGAGGAGGTCATTATGGGCGCTGTTCTATATACCACTTTGAGGTTAAGATCACCCTGAAATCATTTGACATTGCATCATCAAGAGTTTGTTGAGTTGAGAAAGAGTGAGTTGGCAATTCTGACATCAAAATTGCGTGATATGATGTTTTTAAATTAACCTTGGTGCCTTAAGTATGTGCAGACATAGTAAAATAGATTACATTTGCCCTATATTTGCCCAGCTGCCCCACATCGGACAAATGAAGAGGCAGAATGAAGGCACAAACGTAGTGATGAACTTGCATCTCCACTCCCCATTCCACACCTACACCCCCTCGTGACCAACCACAGTCATTGTGGTAAGAGCTGATGCATATTGTGACGAAGCAATTTTTCGGCATCGGCGGATTGGGTTTCAAGATGGAAATGCTGAAATCAAACAGTGCTCACTATAAAAACAAATAAATAGGTCTTCCTTCAACGGAACGAGATATTTGGATTGGGAACTTTGGGCAGGCATTTCGCAGCTTCTAATTCAATTTCTAGACAATATCTATCAGTATAGGCATTCTAAACTTCGAAGAGGATAGCGGCATCAGTTGGATACTTCTGGGTGCATTCGCAAGATACGTCTGAAAAAAGATGTTGGCTGTAACTTGCCACTAAGGTATTTCTACAACACGAGATAAATCATTTGTATACCTACGTCGGCCCTGAACGAGGGAAATTCGCGACAGAAGAAACTGAGCTAATTTGGAGCAGGCCTGAGTGAAACAACGCTATTGATTTTGCAGAATTCATGGTTTTGAGCCACTTCACGGTTCTACAAACGAACACAATACTCGAAATATGAGAGCAAGGCATTAACCTTACGAAAGCAGTGATGCAAAGCACAAGCCATGATTTGAACATGACAAAACCTTAAAGTGGGCTTGCGCGGGCGTTCTCCAACGTCATACCGCTCCTCATTTTTGAGAACGGACAGCAAAAAACGACCAAGATAACATGCACTGGATTGAAAATGTGAACAGGCTGCTCTATCTGGTGAGCCAGGATGCCTGCCGTGCTTGAGTGGCTGATGTAAACAGGATGTTCTTCTGATGCTTGCGATCATGAGCTGTAGCTGCATGATACATTTCACTTGGTGGCATGCATGCTGTCAGCGTACAGATGTAAACATTGTTGAGTCCCACGAAGGAGCCTTCCCTATAACTGCATATCAAACGTGGATCCGCCCCAACTGGCTTGGCAGTGGATCACACACACACACACGCACACAGGTTTTAAAACCGGATGAACATCATGCGTACACCGCGACAATGAGCCGACACCAATAATGGAATCATCATGCTAATAACATGACGACCGATTTGATGAATAACACCGACATGCAAAACACGACCTAAAATAATTAAAAGACAAGAAACTCAGAGGAAGAGAACGTAGGCCGTAAACACCACTTCATTCCCACGACGAAAAGGACGTTGTGAGACGCGCTCCTTCGCCTTCCGACGGACGCTGCTGGTGGCTGTCTGTCTGGCCGCCCGAGTCGCGGAAACAGCAGCACACCGGCGTGACACGAGGCAACGGCGCTCGGCACAAACCCAGACATCCGAGCGAGAGCGCAGCGCGCTTACTCTCGACTTCCAAACGAAGAGCCCGGACGAATGTTCATCACTTGCGCGCGAAATTCGCTGCAGCTGAGCGCGCTTACCGTAACCAATTACCGTAGCCCGTTTTTTTGGCCTGAGCTACGCAGAACGTAGCAACAACTAACTGGAGAGGGCTGCTATTGCACTGAGCACGGACTAAGTGACCGTTTTAAGCCCTGCAAAAGCAAATTTTCACTATGGTATCACAATACCGATACTTTTCAAAGTGGTGGAATGATATTGTTCCGCCCAAACGAAGGCTGCAAATTGTAAGACTAGGCTAGAAGCGAAACGAGTGAGGCCCGATGTGTTTTAGTGACGGCTTTACAATGACATACCAGGAGACGAACGAAGTTTTCCGAACCTATCTGGGTTAGTCCCACAATCTTCCGAATTTATCTCCGACTTTTTCCACGCCGACGTCTCACAACGTGAACCAAACCAGAACCAACTGATCCGGTCGAGAGGAATACGTACTCTGCTTACCGGCTCCTCGTTGACGTACCAGTGCAGCTTGACAGGCGGGTACGAGCGGTATGACGAACAATTGAGTTTCATCACGTCACCAACCCTGTAGCTGGACTCGTGGCCTTTGATGGAGGGCAAGTCATCCGGCATATCTGCAAGCAGAGGCAGAACGATTGACAGGTTTAATATATGTATTTGCGGTATAACTGGTAGGTCTGGTATGCAGGCGGACACCTGGTGGGTCTTTTACAGTGACAAAACTTACGACAGGTCTGCAAAGTGATGAACCATCGTCAGTTTTACCACAGAGGTTGAACTACTGGCAGGTCTGCTGCGAAGCCGACGCAGACGTGTCTTTTATAAAGGCGGGAAAATGCCGAGTTTGTTGGCTGAAGGAGAATAACACCAGATGCACTGCAGCAGCAGTCAGCACATATTTCTACAGATGAGGAAGTCGGCAGGTCTGGTGGCAAACATGAAGGGGTTTAAGGATTTGCTACAGAGGAAACGGAAAAGCCCGCCGGCTGGGGACAAAGAAGAGAGGTTAGAGGACCTCATGGAGTCGGAAAAGCCAGCAGGGTGATCACAGAGGTCAAGAGATCGGCACATCTACTTGTGTAGGGGAGGACTGATTATAACTCAAACCCGCACCGCAAATGCAACGCAAGCAAAGGTAAAACAGGACAGCAGTCTCGTGGCAATGCCAGCAATCATTGCATCTGCCGACGCTGGTAAGATCAAGGTACCATTACAGGCATGTGGAATCATAACGAGCTATAACAACTTCCCAAATATAAGTCGACAATCAATGTGTGCATATTTCGGCAAACTTTGGCAACATACTAGCTTGTTAAAGATCATAAATGGTGCGCACACATGAGCCTGTGGTGTAGGCACACATTTCGACGCTTTTCATTTTCCACACTACCTGAACTGCGGTGGAGTTTCAAGGCGGGGGATGGGACGGCAAAAAGCCGGCTACCGGCTCTAGAAACCCCGGCGCGGAACCATATAAACCTAACAGACCGAGCGGAGTCTGGAATCAAATGTAGATCCGCCAGACGCTTCAGTCGATCGGCCCCCAACAAGAGAAAGCGCCTGCTGAAGACCAAATCGGCGGGATGAAGCGGCGCGCGATCTCTGCCCAGGCACAACAAATCAACGGCGCCTTCTTACATTCGCCATGACGGCGACCCCTTTTCCCGAATCGGACCCACGTGTCCACAGAAACACCTGCCGTCGGCCGGACGGACGTCAGTCATGGACGCGTGACGCCAGACCACCGGCGGAAAACAGCCACGCAGCCACAACACTCATGCGCGAGAACTGTGCCCCGCCGGTGTCGGCGTCACCCCAGCTGGTGTCAGGAACGCCGCGCCACGAGAGAACTGGGCCAGGGGGAACGCGCAGGGCCCGACCGGGGCGCGGCAGGAAGAGAGCGGACCGGCCTTGCGCCATGGCGGGCGACGCGACGCTCGAGTCCTGGTCCAAGGGCACGGTGGGATCCGATCCCTTGGAATTAGGGCAGGCAGGCCAGGCAACGTAGTGAGTGCAGCGGACATCTCGGTCACATGATTTGATCATGCAGAAAACGAGGGCTAGCCAACCCAGTTTTCAGAGATTGCAAGACAATAAAACATGATACAAGGTCATCAGTCCGGGCACGACGGCTCGCATCACGCATACTGTGAGCACACAGGCTATCATCGCCATCCAGACCGAGCCACGGCCGGCTGTACACAGGGGTGCACAAACCCGCCTACTTCCCAACAATGTAGGCGACAGAAGAGCTCGTTGAATGGTCTCCTGTTCAGACAACGTTTAAGTTTAACTTATCACCACAAAAGAGATATTTAATAAATTTAGAATAAAAATCGCTCACAGCGAGTAAAAAAGCCTGCAATTTAATCTAGTAGCGGCAACCTATTGCACTGTTGAGTATCAGCTGTCAACTGATTGGTTGTGTCATGGATGTAGCCGTCCTCGGGTTTCCTCCAAGCCACTTGCACGAGACAGCCCCATTACATTTACATCGGCTTTCAAGACAGGGTGAACGATGATGATGATGATTGGGGTTTTAGGGCGCGTCGACTTCTAGGGTCATTTTGCGCCCATAACAGCTAAGTGCTTACCGTGGTGTATAAATGGCTGTGAATCCTACGTTTCTCAAAAATGAAAACAGCTGTCCGGTGCCAAGCATGCGGGAATCGTCACCAATAAGGTCTGAAAAGGTAAGACCTGACGCATCTCGTCCGAAGTAAAGTGCCCGGTCTTCTCTTAACTGTGGGGCAAGAGTGAATAACGTGGCGAACCGTAAGTGGCGCATCACAGCGAGGACATTTAGGGCGTTCCCCACCGCACAAAAGGTAGCTATGTGTTGCGTGCGTGTGGCCAATTCGTAATCTGCTGAGGGTTACTTCTTCGCGTCTCAACTTGCGTGAGCTTGAAGACCATGGACCCAGTTGTGGCTTGATCACCTTTAACTTATTGTTTACAATGGCGTCCCAGCAGCGTTGCCATTTCCCCTTCACAAAGGTTGCGACTGCAGGGTACAAGTCCCTTGCCGGCAAGGGTAAAGAACGGGTGCAAGGTGCACGCGCTGCCCGTTTTGCGGCCGCGTCAGCATGCTCGTAACCTGCGATACCCACATAACTCGGTATCCAGCATAAGACGACAGTTTTACCAGCAAGATCAAGCGCTGTCAGGCGAACTAAAATATCCTGTATAATGGGACAAGGTGGGTTAAATGCTGTTAGTGCCAACAGGCTGCTCAAAGAATCGGATAAGATCACGTGTGAGTTGCTCTCACCAACTTCGATGAAGCATAGGGCTTTGCTGATTGCAACGAGCTCGGATGTGTAAACTGAGGCGTGTTTCGGTAAAGAAAAGGACCGGGTGGCTTGATTATTCACAAATGCAGCACCAACGCCTACTTCCCATCATTATATGTGGTTTGAAAACCTATGTACGACCCGATGTGCTCCAGAGCCTTCGATCTCAGGTCGCATGGGATCGCTCCCTGTTTGCTGGTGAATGAAAGGGATGCATCCACTTCTGGTGAATTAGTTCTTATGGAGGCACTAATACGGGACGCGACCTTAGCACACCACGCCAACTTATGTCGCTTTCCCGGAACCGCTTATTCATATGGACACCAAATGGACGGCCTTCCGCTACTTTGGAACTTGCTTTCCACATCACGTGAAAAGATTGCTCGCTGAGTCGGATCGTTGGGAAATTGAGCCAGCTTGGAAAATACCGCATGCCAAGCATTTCCCTTCTCAGTGCCAACGCCGGTTCATTAACTTCCACGGTAAGGCTAGCAACTGGCGACGTTCTGAATGCTCCCGTCGCAATGCGTAATGCGGTATGGTGCACGGTGTCTAATAAACGTTTGGAGGAACTCGGCGCGCGGTCATAAATAAAACAGCCATGGTCAAGTTTCGAACGTATAAGTGAGTGGTATAGCAGTAACAGCGTTCTTCTGTCCGCTCCATGAGATGTTCGAGACACATACTTCTATATGTTCAATGCTTTAAAGCAGTTGAGGGTGAACGAAGCGTGACAGACTGACCGTAGACAGCGTGGAGGAAGCGATGTAACAAATTTGGCGGACGTGTTTCAAACGCAGCGCACAAAACGTTTGAAAACCTTACCAGCCAGCATAGCAAAATGTTTTGGGGCTCGCCATACCACAAGCTTGCCGCGGGATGTCAGTGTTGTGCTGTGTTGTGTAGTGCGTCGCTTCACCTTTATCGATAGTAAAACAAATTGAAATTCTATCACCGGGTGCGATGGAGGATGTTCGCTCCATCACGGAGGCACGCACGATGTGGCTGTAAAGGTTGCAAGTTTCAAGGTAAACTTCGCAACTGTAAACGGCAACAGAGGTCTGAACATAGTGGTGGAACCGTGGTCCTACTGAACACTGGTTTTGGAGTTGGTGGCAGGTGACGCTCTGGAATGTGATCAACTGCTGGTGAGTCATGAATTACCAATTATTTTCTTATATATTTGTCATATTTCAGTAATATATAATTGCTTTGTTTGTTTATTAAGCATTACTACTCACACACTGACATTATTTCAGACATAGGCGCCGGGCGGCGCCATCTGTCGCTGCTGAGCGGCTTGGTTGGGCACTTCGTGTTGCCTTGTTTGTTATGAGCACATGAACAGATGTTTTGCCGCCGAATAACTTGTGCCATCGGCAATGAACGTGGCGTATGGTTCTAATAAAATTCGTCATGTCCCGAATATGTTCGCTATGTTCCGTCATGTTCGCTGTGTTCGCTATGTTCCGTTAACAGAGCCAGTTAGCAATGGCGATAAAATATACGATTTAGAATGCACAATGCGTTCGATGATACCATAGACTTAGAACGCATTGTTTTATTCCGCTGTGTCAACGCCATTTGGTTATTTAAGATCACGGATTGAATTGGGAAAAGCTATAATGATGGATACGCACACATATAACTGTGGTTATGGTGTAGCATTGGTGTTAACACTTCGAAGAGAGCGCACCCGTTATATCGAGTCGTTCTGAGCTTCTTTGTTGCAGTTGCATTTGGCGTTTAGATAATTAGACCGCTAAAATACACGCCCACGTTGTAAACGGTTCCTCTTTAAAAAAGAGATGAGAAAAGAGGCGCGAGACGCACGAAAACAATTGCTTTCATACATGACAAGCGCTTATCATTTGAGTATTGTTTTGAATGACACAAATAATGATGACACAGATGGCCATTTGCCAATGTCTTTTAGGGAACAGTTCGGGGAGTTTGTGTAACTCTGGCTGCGCGGCTCGAGACTGTCCCTTGACCCCTCCATAACGGGCGGGCACGGGCCACAGCAACCTCTTCCCCCTGGTGTCACCTGGGGAAATGGCACGGGGCATAACCTGGCATAACCTGGGGCACGGGCCATGCGACCCTCCCGACCCGGTGCTGCGACTCGGCGGTCCTGCGATTCCATAATTCAGGATGGGCGAGGGGTTGAGTGACGCGTCACGGGGCTTCGGGCGGCGTTGGGCCCGCGTGGGGTTGCGGCCTTGTGAGGGCAGGGCACGGAGGTCAGGCGCGCTGGCTGAAGTGGTGACTGTATGTGAATGACTTTGTTAACATAGGTGATGAGCTGCGTTTTAATCGTT